CTAGTAGTATGTGCGCGATAGTAGCTCGTGCGACCTCTCTATACTATAGTAACCGGCAAGCTTACTATTATAGTGTCGCTTAAGAAGTTCTTATCGGATCGAATGTTTAGCGGGGACATAGTATCTGCCCTTGAACTTTAAATAACCTTTATTATCGATCGACTAATTGTTACTCTTACTAGATCGAGTCTTTCGCCTACTTATAAGCTTGTCTATACGTTTAGCAGCAAAGGCGTCCCTCTGCTAAGCCCGTAATAGCTTATCTATAAACGATTAACTATCCCTATTTGCAAGGTTATTTAATAGCACCCTCGCTATTAAACGAGGTACGTATTATATGCATCTAATAGTACTAGTAGCCGGATTAACTATAGTAGTGCTATCGCTGTTACTATATATAGCGATATCGACTAGGGAGTTATTATAACTTCTCCTATCTGTGTCCTTAACACGCACTATTAATATAGTAAGAGCATTAATATGCTTTAAGCCGTCGCGGAGTCCGGTAAGCCGCTTATCCTACGCTTGCTTATTAACAATACGGGCTATAGCAATCTTATACTGCAGGGTTAGAAATAATAAATTAATAGATTGCTAAGTCCCGCTGTCGTAATTAGGTCGCCTCGATAGGCTATTAGCAGGGTTGCTTACGCCTAGCCGATATAATATATCAAAATCAAACCTAGCGAGGTAGACGGCCTATCTAGCCTATCGACCTATAACCCTAGTAACCTTCGTAATTCTACGGAGGTTGTTATAGTCCGTATAGACCTAAATGGTATACTAGGCACTATCGAGATAGTAGCGCTAGTGCTTAAAGGCTTTAATAATAGCTAAGAGCTCTTGCTCGTAGGTCTCGTAGCGACGCTTAGTATTAATTATCTTCCTCGAGAAGAAGGCAATCGGGTACTAGTAATTGTTATTAGCCTATTGTAATATAATGGCTAATATAGCAAACTATAAAGCGTTAGTCTTAACGCGGATCTGTTTGCTTAGTACGAAATAGTGTAACAAGGGGACTTTAGTAAAGCGCTACTTCAAACCGTTAAAAGCGGCTCGCGCTTTGTTAGTCTATTTAAACTCTCTAGTCGGGTTGGCCTTAGTTTTAGTAAGTTCAGTTAGTAGCATTACATACCTCGAATAGCCCTTAATAAATCGGCGATAGAAGTTAGCAAAACCGAGGAACGACTGTAGCTCCTTAATTAACGTAGGAATAGGCTATTTAGTAATAGTCTTAATCCGATTAGGATTAGCCTTAACACCCTCGGTTGATACGAGGAAGCTAAGGAATAACACCTCTTTAGCAGCAAAGGTACATTTAGAAGGTTTGTAATATAGTCTATAGGCCCTTAGGCGATCGAGTATCTTACGGACTGTAGCCTAGTATTCCGCAATGTTAGGAGAGTGTGTATAAACTAGGATGTTATCTAGGTAAACTATATAGAGGTAATCTAATAGGCCTAATAGGGCCCGATTGATATAGGACTAGAATATAGCAGGGGTATTAGCTAGACCAAATAGTATAACTAAGTACTCGAAATAGCTATAGCGAGTACGAAAGGCTGTCTTCTATTTATCGCCCTTACGAATACAGATGCGGTAATAGGCGTCCTTAATGTCTAATATAGTATAGTAGTAGGCACCTAAAAGGCGATCGAGGGTCTTATTAATAAGAGGAAGTAGACAGCGGTCTTTAATAGTAACAGCATTAAGCCCTCTGTAATCAATATATAAACGTAGGCCGCTATCCTTCTTTAGCACGAACAGGATAGGTACACTAGTAGGGCTGTTACTATACCGAATTCGACTATTAGCTAGGTTTTCCTCTAGGTACTTACGTAGTATAGCAAGCTCTCGTTTACTAAGGTTGTAGAGGGGGCTAAAAGGGACCTCTTTGCCCTCTATAATATTAATCTTATAATCCGTCTCTTTGAATATAGGCAATGTCGATGCTAAGTAGTATTTAAATATATTAATATAGGTCTCTCGAATAGGTTCTAGTATGCGCTTAAGCTGTTTAGGATCTATGCTATTAGGGGGCACTAGTTTATCGTTATTACTACCGAGCAGGTCGGCAGTTAGATTAGCTAAGGCGGGAGTTAGGTTGCTAATAAATAGGACCCTAATATTATTAGGATACTCGCTAATGTCGATGTGTTTAATGTCCTCTTTCCTAGCGATTCTAAATCGCTATTGTTGATTGCCTAAGTCTATAACTATAGTATAGTACTTAAGAACAGGGTTGCTAATAACAATATTAGATAGGAGGCTGTCTATGTCTACTACGTAGGTAGTAAAGTTTAGTAGGCGCTTATTGCCGAGGTCGTCTCTTAGGGCTATATAGATATAGTAGGCTCTATAGGTCAAATGCCGAGCGTTATTAAACTAAGCAAGGGTTAGCAGGTTAGTCCTAGGCAATTGTCGAAGGTCTAATTGCTTAGCTAGGCGATAGCTAATAAGGGCACTAACTGAATTTCCTAGGTCTAGCGTAACCTTGGTTTTATAATTGGTTCTATGCGTGTCCGATACGAGATAGGTACGTATAATAGCTAGTACAATGTCGATAGTCTTACGCCGTACAAGGCTAATAGTTAGTACGGCGCTTATTCTTTTTTCGACTAATAAGAAGGTTGGCCTATAGGGGTAGCGTTAGCTACTAAAAGGTGCTTTCGGTGCTTAGCGGCAGCGCGGTCGATTTGGGCCTAGTCCTTAGGTTTATCGTATTAGCCTAGTAGATAGCTAGTGCTGTTACAATTAAAGCACTTTAGTCCGGTTAGGGGATTGCTATAGCTATTACCGCTATTATTAGCCGAACGATTAGTACTATAGGGATACGAGCCCCTTCTACGGCCCCTGTTACGGCCTCCTCTATATAGCCGTCGGCTACGGCCTCTTCCTCGGTCGTTATTACTATTCCTATTGTTAGTACTATTATTCTAGTAGGAACCTTAGTTTCCTCTACGGCTACGATAGGTAGCTAGGCGTATCTTAGATTCCAACCGTTGTTAGAGCTATACTATACGCTCTATAGTCTCGACTTTAACTATAAATTGAATACGTATAAGATTGGTCTGTTTAAATATACGGCGGCGGTCCAATTCAAGGACTAATTCCTATCTTAGTTTTAGGCGTATTTCCGAGATCTATATAGAATTAGTCTTAGCCGGAAGGTTATCCTCGAGGGTCTTTAAATAGGCCTCAAATAAACGAGCCGACTAGTTAGTCTTTTGTTTAGCTCGAAGGTATTAGTCCTAAGTATACTATTGTCTTAGTATCGGGTTTCTAAGAGTGTCTAGTATAATAGTCTTATAGGTTTTCTACTAAATAGCAGTCTAATTATTAAGGGAATCGAAATAGTCGTCCTAGGTACGCTTTAGGTTACTATTGATATACTATATAGTATAAACAACTAAGGAATAGTCGTCTAGAAGAGCCCTTAGTACATTTCGCTAGTTAAGCTTACAATTACGTATATAATCATTGTACTGCTTACGGCTAGAGCTATCAAATACAGTATAGTCTTTAAGCTTAGCATCCTTCTTTTGAATAGAAGGTCCTACTACTAGTTCTAGTCTAGTAGTAGTTGTTAGGGCTTCCTATAGGCGGCGAATCTCGAGGAGATTATCCTTTAGCTGTTGTTCTTAACGTAGGGCAGTAAGCCTGTTTTAGGTAGCTTCTTAGAGTCTCCCTACTAGTTAGGGGCTAAAGGCTAGTTAGTTATATCGACGGTTAACAATATTGTTAAGAATGTCGTCGATAGGCAATTCTAGGTCGTTACCTAGAATTATAGGTTCTTCTTTAATAGGCTCTCCGGTAGGCTCTTTAGTAGGAGGCACTTTAGTAGGCACTTTAGTGGGAACTGTACTACTAGCGTTGTTATTGCTAGCGCTACTAGCGGTAGTACGGTTATTGTTGCTTCGTAATAAGCCGGCTATTATTATAATAGGGGGTAACACTAATAATATATTATAGGCCCCTAAGATGCGGATATAGCGGAATTAGTAGATATCGGCTTAGTGCGATTAACTTAGTATAATAGGCCGTATAGAAGACCTTGCTTAATAATTAGTACGGTTATTCTAATAGAATAGTACGTATAGATCCCGCCTCGGGCGCAATATAGTTAGATTAACGGTTTTCGTAGCTATACCGCTAAAAGCTTGAAATAAGGACTATCTAGCTACTACCCTTAAAGGGTAGATCGAATACTATATAAGAAGGGTTATATTAGTAGGTAGATAGGGTAGTAGTAAATTAGTATAGTATTCGATAAGGATCTAGAAGGAGAGGGAGGAAGGTAGGAGAGTTAGCCTAACGCTAAGCGCTAAGCCCTGCCTAAGGTATTAAGACCCTAGCTTTACTCGGCCTAGTTATATACTAATTATATATAGCCTCTTTAGCTCTAATATACGCTTACGAGCCGCTAGCGTCTTTAGCTACGAATTAGTAGAATTAGTAAATTGAGATACTATAGTTGCGAGGATTCGAATAGCGGTAATATAAGAGACTAACTAATTTAAATTGCTAGGTTTTACCTACGAAACCGCCCTTCGAACGAGTACTCGATCTCCTTTTATACCGCTTTACGATCCTATACCGCTTCCTATACCGCTTCGAGCCCTATAGCGACTATTATATCTACTACTGTAGCTATATACGCTTTAAGCTTTAATATATAGGCCTAAGGCAGAAAGAGAAGGAAGGTTATAGCGGTAGCCGCCGCGGAGGTCTAATTTGAACACGTTACCGTCTAATAATAAACGATTATAAAGCGGCTTCTACAAGAGACGATTATGGCATACGCATAATCGAAACGATTATGCGATAAACGGTGGCAAGTAGACAGGGCCTTAGGATGTGATGTTCGAAAGGCAAAGCCAGGCGGGAACTGTCGGAGCAGATGAACCCTTGCTGGTGCTGACTAAAGCGGAAGACGAGTCCAAGCGTCACGATTCTGTTGCGAGGCCGGGCACATTTCTTTGCCATCCACTTAGCACACATCTAATACACATACACACCTTCTTCTTGCGCCACTGTACATTTACTTCCTGGATCACATATTCAATCCACACTCTGGAAGTTAGGATGGGCTGGTTTTGGGCAGACACAACACCATCAGCATCGCAGGCCCCTCACCCTCTGCCTTCGCGATCAGATGCGCAACCACCGCCATCATGTCCTATGCATAGCAAAATGCCTTCCAGGTCTTCTACGCTACCCCCGACGACAAAGGATCGCCCTAGCGCATGTCCAATCAAACACGATAATGCCTCAGCCACCCAAGTACAACCGAAAGACACGCCCTCATACATCTCTAAACTCAATCCACTGAACTACATGCCCGAGCTGGCCAACAAACGTGAGCATGGTGAGCAGAAGATCAATCTCCCGCTAGACAGAGAGGCTTCGAGTATACCGCGCGGTGACGGGCAGGGCAATTGGGAGTACCCATCTCCACAGCAGATGTACAATGCCATGCTGCGGAAAGGCTACACAGATACGCCTGCCGAGCACGTAGAGAGTATGGTGGCAGTACACAACTTTCTCAACGAGGGCGCATGGGAGGAGATCCGGGCCTGGGAACATCGCTTCAATCAGGGATTGCGCAAGGGCTGGGAGTACTGTGCTAGAGGAGAGGAGAACTATGCACAGATGGCAATGCGGGATGAATTACGGCGTCGTAAAGGCGAGGAAGCGCCAGAACCAAAGCTCGTGAGGTTTGAAGGGAGGCCAAATGAGATGACGCCCAAGGCCAAGATGTTGAGCTTCATGGCCTGGCTGTATCCGAGCCAGTTTCCGGATAACCCGCCTTTTGATCGACATGATTGGTATGTGGAGAGGAGCGGGCCAAATGGACAGAAACAGGAGAAGCGATATATCATCGATTACTACAGGTGGGTTTGGATGAGCTGTGAAATTGTGCATTGGATGGGATGCTAATTATCTGCAGTGGTCCACCAGAGCCAACGGGCGAACCAGTGTTCTATCTAGACGTACGACCAGCAGTCGACGGACCTACAGCTGCCTGCGAGAGAATGCTTCGCTGGGGCGGTGATGTCTGGTGGCGGGCCAGCGGCGGTATCGCGAGAGAAGAACTTGCAAAGCAGAAGAAGTAAGCATGTCAAGATAGAAAGGGGAAAGGTGCATTGAAAGATGTGACGCATTTTATGTGGATAACTGTTATGTAGAGAGCGTGGAGTCTGGTGTTTGGGTTTACACATTCGCGGACGACGAGAGCTACGGCATCGTTAGTTACCGCTCGGTCAAAGGAGACTCGACTCTATCTGTACATATGTACATGGCGCAAGTGGCATAGGAAGCGTGGCGCACTTCACACGGCATAATGAAGCACAGTGAATGACCTCTCAGCCATCCGGCATGACTTGGCTCCTACAGACTGACGTGCATGCTGCAAGACATCACACATATGCAACACACCTTGGAGCGGCACAATTCAAACGCAGGAGTTCGCAGAATGTTGTTGATGCAGCAAATGATTCGCTGAGCTTCAGAAGCTGAGTGTGTCACCAGGCTTCTCCAGCCGTGCGCCTACCGGGATCTTTAGGAACACTCGTCACGCGTCACCCTGCCTACAAGACGGGCGTTCACATGTTAGACATTCAGGACTGCAGCTGACTGGATGGAGGAATAGATCTGGATCTGGATTGAGCATGATGGATATGTACGAGTATAATAAGAACACGCCGCCGCTCTGCTTGCACATGTACGACCAAGGCCACAACGTCGAACTCACGCCTTCAGCACCATTCCATGGATCGAGAAACAACGACAAAATATGGCATTACCAAGATGTCCAAGTCGGAACTGTATCCCAGAGAACCTCAGCCGGTGAGAGAATTCGCAAAGCTTCCAACTTGTCGCTGCGGAAATCTGTTTTGCTTTGGAGGTCGCTTGTGTGAAGCCCATGAGCTAGGGGTACACAGGCATTCGAGGGCATCGCTGGTACCCGTCAAAGAAAGGGCGAATATTGGGAGGCGGAGAGTTGGAAGTAAGCGTGCGGTTTGAGGTCTGGTGTACTCGTCTGCAAAGCAAGCGGAATGGAAGTCAAAGTCAGTATGTCTGGTCTCAGTTCGACGAAGTCTCTTTGGCCGACTCTCTCGCGCCTGACGATACTCCCCTGCCAGCACTGCCGAGGCCTCCAGAACGCGATTTGCGATCGAGATGCACAAACAGAGGATTTGAGACCGCTCGCTCGCTCGTGGAACGCGGTGTATGGCAGCCACTGCTTGCACCGCTGCACTGCAAGTCACCCAAATTCTGGAGATGAGCGCGGAAACCAGCGCTTCGAGGATGACTGATTGGAGCTACGAAGAAGGGTGCTTTGATTGAAATAAATGTAGACATGAGGATGGACTAATTGTACTTAATTAAAGGAGGACCCGGCCCGTCGCCTCAGCATTCATCGTTTGCAGATACTCAGCTTCGGCTTCTGCGCTGTGCGCGGACATGAGTCGACCACATCATCACCGTTGGCCCTGCTCGGTTGCACATCAGGTATCCCGTATGCTTTAGCAATCTCGATACCATGCCGACCAGTTGACCCCTCCCCACTGAGCATGCCGCATTCCCCATGGACCTCGATGTTCCGCCTACCGCGCACTCAACTATGCGGCATGATTGGGCACCTACTACGACGCTCGAAGACTACCAAGAAGTTTTGACCCCACCTGATGGAACTGCCGACGTTCTTCAGCTTCTGGAAGAGCTCGGCCAGCTATGCTTGCTTGTCTCAAAGCGACGCCTCTCCAATCTGAGCGTACCGCTTGAACATCCCTACCTAGAGGAATATCGATCTTGGATCGTCGCCCAGGCACGGAGTTTGTCGTAAGTCTCGCTTCGGCCTACAGAATTCTAGACAATGAGACTATGCTAGAGAATATGCTAGCAAGAATCGATGCAGTGGTCTCTCAACTAGTCTTAACCCGTGCAGCTCCAGTGGCAAGAATTATCTATCAAATATGTCGCAACATGGGAGATTTGTTGTCTGGCCGAGCTCTCAATGACATTCTTTCAGAATCTTCCATCAAAAACGAAGAAAGGACAATTCCTAGCTTGGCGTAGAGGACGCTGGATCCTCACGACGCTCCAGATACCCAGGGCTTTGGGTGCCATCGGTATGAACTTATTATTGCCTCAAATATTCTTCGTACTAGTTAAGCCACGCGACTACATCTGTCGTAGGCTGGATTAGTAGACTAGGAGAATATCAACTTCTTCTTCGGAATCTTATACGATATTTAGTAGCCTGAAGTTACGGTCGCCACTAGTTCCGTATTCCGGATCCGAGATCGAGTCGAAGTCGTACTAAGCCCTACCAAGACCGATATACGAATAGTCGATTAGCTAGCGCTGGTGCTTGGTAAGTTCGTATTATATCTTGGCTCTTTTCAATGTATAAACATCCGAGCCCAATGTCTTCTCAATCGCGAGCATCCTCGCCAATCGTTCGTTCCGTCTCATACATCAACAATGCAATCCTTCATATTCCTGTTCCTCCTGGGTGTCGTCTACCGCTCAACCCAGGCCTCGCCCACAGCCTTCTCCCAGCCGACGACACTATCTGGAGCGTCAATGTCACGAATGGATGAAGCTAGCCCTCCGAGGCGTGACCGTCGTAGTCGCAGCTGGTGATCGAGGCGTCTCCGGAAACTTTGGCTGTGCCGTGAATCCCGTCAACGAGTCTGCAGAAGCCTTTGGTCCCTCATTCCCCGGCTCTTGTCCTTACGTGACAACCATAAGCTCCACACAAGTAAACTTCACAAACGGCCGACAAAAAGAAGTCGCGGTCTACGACAAACCACATAACTTCTACGCAGGAGGAGGTTTCAGCAATATCCATGCTCGTCCATCCTTCCAATCTCACGCTGTATCTCGATATCTGGCGAAACACGATCCATCCTACCCTTCCGGCACATTCAATACTTCCGGTAGAGCTTACCCAGACGTCGCACTCCTCGGCGCAAATGTCACGATGGTCGATCAAGGCACGGTGGTTGTTAGTGGTGGAAGTAGCACCGCTGCCCCACTTTTCGCTGCTATGATTAGTAGGATTAATGATGAGAGGTTATTGGCTGGGAAGAAGGCGATTGGGTTTCTTAATCAGATCTTGTATCAGCATCCTGAGGTGTTTAATGATGTGAGTAAGGAGCGAGTGTATCAAAGGCTTGACGACGCTGACTTGGGGCCAGATCACTGAAGGCAATAATCCTGGCTGCGGAACTGCTGGTTTTCAGGCTGCGGAGGGTTGGGATCCTGTTTCTGGTTTGGGATCTCCGAATTTTCCTAAGCTCAGGAGTCTCCTGGTTGGTCTGCCGTGAGCTTCATTCAACAAGCTGCTGCAGAAGGAGCGCCGATGCGCTTTGTCGCCTCTCAGGACAAGAGAAGCAGGTTTTTCCATGGGAGAGAAACACCAATGTGGGGCACGAACATGGGGACACCAAGCACTTCCGCAGTTGACAACGCAGTGAAGACTCGTGCTACCTTCCTTGAGATACTGCTCATTGACGAAGAGCGTGGACATTCGACTACAGTCAGGTCCATGGGTGTGCGATGCGGACCCAATAAGATGCGGCTAGTCGTTGTGGCAGAGCTGTTGGTTGCGTTCAGAACATGAGGTCTGAATCCTGTACACTGCATAGTCGTTGGACTGGCACTCATGTTGATTTGTTGCTGGTGAATAGTTGAGCAGTCGTGGGATGTCTGGAGGAGCGACCTGTTAAGAATTTCAAGTGAGGTGAAATCCAACCAATGATATCAAAGGCCGAAGTTCGCCGATACGAAGGAAAGAGGGACGGACCAGTAATATTCATTCGTACATGCTTTTACATCAAATCGACCTTTCCTAGAAATGACATTTGTTCAAGTAACGCGCGCACACACACATAGAACCACTTCTCCAAAGAATCGAAGTCTTGAGTCCAGGGTATATCCAAAAATACAGTGATTATTCCCACCCAGCCATCATTCCATTCATATCATCATAGTAGTCGTTTCCTCTTCAATGAGTCTGGTCCCCCTTCATCCTCGCCTTCTCGTTCGGCTGTATCTGCAGGATTAAGCAGGGAGTGCACATTTGATGCCATACTGCTTCTGCGACTTGGTGCGCCAGGCGTTTCCAGGCCCTTGAAGGGAAATCTCGCGCCAGGCAGCTGCCAACCAGCATCGTTAGGGTTAGCGTAGCTGGGCGGGAAGCTGGTTGTGAAGCTGGGAGGGTGGTTGTCGTGCGGACCTGGAGACGGATGTCGTGATCCAGAGTTTGAAACGCCCGGCAGCTGATAGTTGGCTAGTGTATCACGAATCTGCTGGTCACCAGGGTTGGCGGCAGTTCGTGGCGAAGAAGGCCAAGCGCCAGATGATTGTCCAGATGCATATGGTGATGTACCTTGCTGATACTGCGGCGGTGGTGGCTGATTGCCCTCCCATGCTTGTGCCTGACGAATATCGGCAGAGGTGTGGCGTCGAGGGAGGCTCGAGGGCGGGGATGTCATTGTGGCGAGAGGGTGCTGCTGATGCGCTGAAGGTGGAAGGGGCGGTGGGTGCGCGTAAGATGGTCGAGTTGACGAAGGCGAGTATGAGCCGTTTCCTCCACTTCCGATGGAGCCATATCGGCGAGGCGACGCTTGAAGGTAGGGTGGAACAGGTACGCGTACTCCTGGGGGTCGGGGAAGTCCTTGCAGTGAAGGCCGGCGAGACTCATCAAACGGTCGCTGCCGAGGCGACATTGGTACAGCTGGCTCCATCTGATTGTTGTTCGGCTGGAAGAAGGACTGTTTGTGTGGGAATGGTGACTCGTGCGGTTGGGGTTGGGGAGGCTCTGCGTTCCGCAGCTGCTCCAGGTGTTGCCGAATATCTTGTCGCATGGCAAAAACGTCTCTGTGAACGGGATTATCCGGATCGGGCACTACCGTGAGAAGGTGCGAAGAAATTTCATTGCCCCAATGGTGGCATCTGGCAAGCCCGTCAAGGAGCGTCTGATATTTGGTTGAGACATCCATGTAGGCTTCTTCGGTCCTGGACAGCTTAGCGTAGACATCCTGAAAGTTCCACTCCAGCATCTGCAAACGTGCCTCGACTGGATCTGGCATCTGCTCGAGCGGTGTTCCGGGCGGCTGAGGAGTTGGCATCTTGGGTGCAGTTGAGAACGAGTCGCGATGTATAAGTGCATGTCTACTAGCTCGGCGTTTAATCTCCCTCAGCCCGACGAGATCGCCGCGCTTGAAATTGCCAGCACCATGCTTGAATTCCCAGAGTGGTGAGTCGGGCGATCCGGTGTGAAATACATCGCTGACTGGGTGCGAAGTTAGAAGTAGCGAAAGGAGTGAGAGATTTCGCTCTTACCCTTATGAAAACCATACATGTTCAGTTGCCGAACAAATGAGGATATATTGGTATGCTTGAAATATTGTCTGCCAAGAATTAGTGAAAGCCGGCAGCTTGCGGTGTTCGCTGAACTCACGCTAAGACTCTCGAGAACTCCGAGGATGGAGACATGACAAAGCTCTCGTTCGTGTTGGACCATGATATGAGGTGCTGGATACTTTGATCTTCTAGCATGCTGGCAAGATGTCAGCAAATGGCCGGTACTGGTGTGAAAGAGGGAGCACCTCACTTGTATAGCTTGTGTATAAATGCAGTTTGAACTACTTTTGGCTGCTGCGCTGCCGCTGCAGCTCCAACAGGGTGTGATCCGCCTCCACTTGTAGGAGACGTCGGTTGCTGCTCGCTCTGTCCATGTTGCTGCGGCTGTTCCCCTTGCCTATCTCCATTCGGGCTGCTCAATGGCGGTCCCATCGAAGCGTGCTGCGACTGATTAGTGTCCATTGGCTCTCCACCGCCAGCCACTGATGCCGATGGAAGGATCGGGATGGCCTTGGGAATGGCTGGGTTATAGGCTCGAGGCTCGCTCGCGAATGGATCTCTCCTCAATGGCTCCTGGACCGATGCCATTGGACGGTCCGGACAAGGCCAAAAGGGATGTCTGCGCGACGGGCAGTATTTTTCTCAGCAACAACGATGCGATTCGGGATAGACGGGCGAGGCGAGGCGAGGTGGTGGAAGCTCGTGCTCGTGCGCGTGCGTTGCAGTATGCGACTCCACCTCTGCACTCCTGCCCTGGTCTTTTTCACGGCCTGGAATCCGGACTCGGCCCCTTCAGGCCTTCTCCATCTTCGTCGCCGTCCGATCTCCTGTTTTCTCGTGGCCGAACAGCGTGTCGAGTCGGTTCAGCCTTGCAAGTGCGGGAATAGTGGCGACGGGCTCGAGCTAGGTTCTATCGGAGCTTCATGTACAGGCAGTAGCAACAGTACGGAGCTTCTACCTCCTCCCTCAGACCCTGGCCGGAGATGGCGATGCGGGGAGCGCGAATCGAATCGAATGCCTCGTTTGGCCGCGACGCGTCAATGGAGTGCGCAGACTGTCCGGCGCGGGGTTGGCTCGATATTGCTATGGCATTAATGATGGGAGAAGATGAGGCTGTTGGCAGAGCAGCAGCAGGACTCGGGCGCGCGAGGCATCTCCAGTACTCTGCACGAACGACGCTAGAAGCCAGACGAGCTGACACCCATGTCCGCGAGAACAACGGGCAAGGATCGGCGTGGCTCAGGGCTTCTGCTATACGAGGGGCCGGCTAGCTTGACCCATCCTATCGGATAGCAGAGTCGACATATTGTATAAAGTCCAATTATAAGATAAGTCGCCTTAGAATACGATATACCGAGATTAAATCTTACTAGTAGAGTATTATTTAGAAGGCTTTCTTATTAATAGTAAAAGCTAGCTACTAAACCGTCTAAACGTTTAGTATCTATTTACCTATCTACTTTCTAAACTATAATAAATAGCTTTATTAATTAGTTAAGAATACAATTAATAAGATACCTATAAGATATCGTAAGTATATTAAAGGAAATAGTTTATTAATAATATTTTAATAGTAATAGAAGTGCTATACTAGTATTTAATATAAGATTTATACTAAATACTTTATTTTTACTACTACTAAATAGAAGAGTTAGTTAATATTTGTATCTAACTACTATATTAGTAATTTAGTATATCTATTTACTAGTATTCTACTAGGTAATTAAAGATTAAAGTATCTATATTTACTATTAATAAAATACTAGATAGATTCTAGATATACTTACAAACTAAAAATCTAAAAAAAATTATACTAACCTACTATATACCTATTAATTTTTTTTATTTTTTTTAAAGGATCTAATTGTAAGAAGGGTATATTAGTAGGTAGATAGGGTAGTAGTAGGTACGAGTAGTATTCGATAAGGATCTAGGAGGAGAGGGAGGAAGGTAGGAGAGTTAGCCTAACGCTAAGCGCTAAGCCCTACCTAAGGCACTAAGACCCTAGCTTCACTCGGCCTAATTATATACTAATTACGTGTAGCCTCCTTAGCTCTAATATACGCTTCCCTTCTAAAGGCCGCGCCCTCGTAGCCTATCTATATTCTACGACCTCTATTGCCGCTAACTTAGCTAGTCTAATAAGCTACTTAGCCCGCGCTAAATTGAACACTTAACTACCTAATTATATAACTATATCAAACCTTACCTTCTAATACAATGTCTAACTTCTAACTGCGCTATCCCTATATATAATAAACTATAAAGTAATATGTATCTATAAGAATTAAGGGCCTTCGACTAATTACAATACGAGCGCGTCTTCCCTACTATAATAGGTAGGCGTACGAGGTATTGTAGCCCTACCTCCGCTCTAAGTAATATCGTACTAAGTTCTTTGCGTCTACTCTTAAAAGACCTAGCAATGTCCGCTTCCGAGGGTTTGTCCGCTTCCGAGGGTTATTGTTCTTATTGTTCGTAGTTTCGCTAGCCCTAATTAGCTAGGTTTAGTAGCCTTTAAGTATCAATCTTATCTTATCTTTTTAAAAAACACAGCTCGTCTAGTTTCTATAGGTAAAGGCTATTATAAGTGTAGTAGTAGAGGTTCGCCTCGCTTAAAGGGTTAGATAGATCGAGGAGTAACCTATTATCCGCAAGATCGACCCTAGCTAGCTTAGCTCTATAGTTTTGCCCTTAGTTAGTCTATTAGTCGCTTAATCTTTTAACTTAGTTAAAGTTTTAACTTAGCCTTAAAGTTTTGATTAAACCTTTAATAGGCTTAAAGCTTTGATTAAAGTTTGATTAAAGGTGCCTTAGGCTCGTAGTATAGGTAAGGTTATGTCTATAGGCGTAGCGACAATAGCAAGTAATATTAATAATAGCGGCGCTAGTCGTCTTAGCGCTAACTTTACCTTCTTCTAATTTCCTTCTTTAACTAATAACAACTCGGCAACACCGTTACTAATATAGCTATATCCTTCCTTTCTTAAGTAGCAATATACTCCGTAATACTATTACTAATATAGCCGCGCCGGCCGCGCCGTCCCCGCCGATTGCCTAGGCCTCGAGGCCTCGATAGAATAAGGGAATAAGAGGGGGATCTATAGGGCGCGTTAGTAAAGAGGTAGAGTCCTTAAAAGAGCAGGCAATTAGTTAACGCATCGTAGCGCGCCTAGTGTAGTCTTATTGTCCTTTGTTACTAACAATTGCTTGCCTCTAATTAGTTAGCTAATAGTACCCCGGGGGTAGCATTGTTCTAGGCCTTAATAGTAACATTATAAGCTTTTAGCCTTCTTCTTGTTCTTTACGCTAGTCCAATACTTATCTAATAACTCGGTTATATCCTTAAAGGATCCTTTAGCTTCCTACGAGTCCTATTTAGGTAAATAGCCTTGCTACCTTAGGAGGTATTCCTTCTTGCCTTTCCTAGTCCGGTGCTATAGGATACGTTCTATAGACTATAGTTCTTTACTATTAGCTAAGACTTCTTCTAACTTAGTAGGCGCTTTATCGCCTTCGCGTTAATAGTATAGCTTAAGGAGGGATATATAGAAGGTATTATAGATAGTGTAATAGGGTAGAAGCTATAACTAGTAGGCCTATATGCCCTTCGGTTCTCGAATGCGGAATAGGCTAATGTATCTTAGTGCGAGCTTAGGCCTTGTTTTGCTATCGGGTAATAGGTGTTTACGGATGCGGAGGTTCTTTGTACTAAGCATAACTATATCGCCTTACTTGAAGGTTATTAGAAGGTAGTGTTTGTTATAGTAGGTCTTTTAGTACTCTTAAGCCTTTGTTAACTTCTCGGCTATCTTAGTATAGATTTCTCGCATCTTCTAAACCCTCTTAATAGCCGCTAGTATCTTAGGTTAACCCGCTCCCCTTTCCTTACGCTCGGCCTCGAGCGATAGGGGGTCTTATAGTAGCGCAGGGTTGCTTCCTATTATAGCGAAATAAGGTAACACCTTAGTAGATAAGTAGACACTGTTGTTATATACGAATTCGGCTAGTTATAGGAGATTAACCTAGTCCTTAGGGTTCTCGTTAATATAACTACGTAGGTACTACTATAGGGTAGCATTCTATCTCTCTGTTTAACCGTTAGTCTGTAGATAGAAGGCTATTAATAGCCGATGCTTTAGTCTTAGCTATAGGCATATTTCGCTCTAATAGTGCGATATAAATATCGAGCCCCTATCGGAGACTATCCCCTTAGGGGTTCCCTAATAGGTATAGAAGATGTTAGTCTATAGCGCCTTAGCTAGGTTAATAGCCGTCTAATCCTTTCGGGTAGGAATGTAACGAGCGCCCTTAGTAAACCGGTCTACGATAACTAGGATAGCATTATATATATCCTTGCTTCCCCTACGCTTAGTAGGCGGAAGGCCTATAATGAAATCCATTATAAGCTTAGCAAATAGCTTCTTTAGAATAGGGAGTAAAGACAACTCGCTAAATAGTAAGTGCTTTAGTGCTTTAACTCGTTAATATACGGTATACGTGTTTACGTAGTCCTTTATATCCCGCTTACTATTTAGCTAGTAGTATGTACGCGATAGTAGCTCGTACGACCTCTCTATGCTATAGTAACCGGCAAGCTTACTATTATAGTGTCGCTTGAGAAGTTCTTATCGGATCGAATGTTTAGCGGGGACATAGTATCTGCCCTTAAACTTTAAATAACCTTTGTTATCGATCGACTAATTGTTACTCTTACTAGATCGAGTCTTTCGCCTACTTATAAGCTTGTCTATACGTTTAGTAGCAAAGGCGTCCCTCTACTAAGCCCGTAATAGCTTATCTATAAACGATTAACTATCCCTATTTACAAGGTTATTTAATAGCACCCTCGCTATTAAACAAGGTACGCATTATATATATCTAATAGCACTAGCAGCCGGATTAACTGCAGTAGTGCTATCGCTGTTACTATATATAGCGATGTCGACTAGGGAGTTATTATAACTTCTCCTATCTGTATCCTTAATACGCACTATTAATATAGTAAGAGTATTAATATGCTTTAAGCCGTCGCGGAGTCCGGTAAGCCGCTTATCCTGCGCTTGCTTATTAATAATACGGGCTATAGCAATCTTATACTATAGGGTTGGAAACAATAAATTAATAGATTGCTAAGTCCCGCTATCGTAATTAGGTCGCCTTAATAGGCTATTAGCAGAGTTACTTACGCCTAGCCGATATAATACATTAAAATCAAACCTAGCGAGGTAGACGGCCTATCTAGCCTATCGACCTATAACCCTAGTAACCTTCGTAATTCTACGGAGGTTGTTATAGTCTATATAGACCTATATTGTATATTAAGCCCTATCGAGGTAGTGCCTCTAATGCTTAAAGGCCTCGACAATAGCTAGGAGCTCTTACTCGTAGGTCTCGTAGCGACGTTTAGCATTAATCATCTTCCTTAAGAAGAAGGCAATCGGGTACTAGTAATTGTTATT